CTTGGGTGTAATAACGAACACAGCAGTCATTTTAATGTTCCTAAATCCGAACCGCTGAAGACGCAGTGGCTGTGTTTGTTTTCAAAGGGAATATTCCCCACGAGCAACGTCAATGCTCTCATGTTTGCGCGAATCATTTCACACCAGACTGCTTTATTAACGAGGATCAGTATAAAGCTGGATTTGCTAAGAAGCTGCTCATGAAAAAAGGATCGGTACCAGATATTCGTGTTCCTGCTGAATCTCCAGAACAACGGAAGTGAGTGTAATTTTTTATTAAACTTTATATTAATATATTAATCTTTGCAAATCGCTAGCTGCACGCTTCACAATGAATGCGTCTAAGGTTTACACTCAGGGTACATTACGGCATGTTTTTTATGTATGACGTTCTCAAGATAATTCATAATCCCACGTTTATACTGAACAACGCGTTATGGTTATTGTGTTATTGAGTTACAAACTGTGTACGCACAGAACAGAGAGGCGGGGTGAGCAAAGCTCATTATCATTGAAAGTCATATGCACTGAAACGGTGTGCTGAAAACAGAGCTGTTTTTGACCAGGTAAAATAAGTGTTTTCTTACAATACTAATAAGAATTTTTAATTAAAGTATATTACAAGCTTTTAATTTAGACCCTAAAGAATCATATTAGCTTGTACAAAATGGCATTATATGACCCCTTTAAGAATATGAACAAATATTGCAGAGGATGATTTAGGATTTTTTTATTCTGTTGCACGATGACGGCACGGGTTGATATTTGGTTGACCAATCAGCGGAAAGGGGCATTTTGTTCCAGCCCACATGTGAAAACGAATAATCAAACTGTTTTTCCATTTACTACCCCTGAACCTAAAAACGAAAAATCAATCCAAGTTCTTGTGAAAAAACAAATAAAGGTGCAGTTTTATAGTTTCCGCTTATTCCATGTCAAATTGAAAAACAAACTAACAAAGTGTACACGGAACCATTTTGATGTGCTGAAAAAAAAATCATTGGATAGAATCTTGTGTGATTGGTTGTGGGTCCTAATAAAGAGACTAGCCAACTGTTGAGTAGCTAAATTTTATATATTCGTCAAACCCAATTTTTTATAAATTTTTGGCTCCTGGATAGTGTTAGTTATGGGGCCTGACTGACTATACTTCCATTTATAAAAATCTATAATTGACAGCCAGACATCAAAACATCATAAAGCCATGAGCTAAAGATGTAATAATCCAGAGGCATCTAATGAAAAATTACCTGATTTTTCACCCTGTTTGAGCTCCATATCAGCTGATTTTGTCTGAACTCCTCCGGTGGTCAGGTTAGCAGAGCCTATTTTCCCTTCACTGATCACTTCCAGCGAACCAGTATCACTAACACATAGCTGCAAAAAGTAGAATAGTGTTACTGTTATCCAGTAATAAAAAGTAATATACAGTGCCTTCAGGAAGCATTCGACACACTAAATGATTATGTGTATATAAAGTAAAAATTATATTTTTTACACTCTATTGATAAAAACAAAAGACTAGCCATCACTGAAATTCTTCAACTGGTGAGAGAGTGACCTCCAGATTATTCTTTATTATTCTTCTGGATCTGTCTGAAGCTTTTGACAATTTAAATCAGAAGATCTACCCTCTCCACACTGCTCATCATGGGAACGGCACTGCACTGGCTTGGTATAGGACAGACAGATCCTTCAGGGTATCTTGGAGGCGAACAGTGTCTAAATCAGTTTGGCTAACCTATGGGGTGCCTCAGGGTTCGGTGTACCCTTGAGCACATGACCTTCAGCGGACTGAAGACAGCTCTCCGGAGTCTTGAAACACTCTTTCCAGATCGGACATTCAGATATAATTAGTTAGTGAAATAGTAGAACAATGTTCTGCTCACCTTCAGATTGCTTCCCGGGAGGATCGCGACTCCCTCCTTCCAGCCCAGAACATGGACGATAGTCCCTCCGACCTGAGCAGGAAGTGATGCGGCCTCCAGTTCACTCCCTTTAATTGCCCTGATTGCATTTTGAGGCAGCTCCACTTTTGGCAACGAATGAGCAGAAGCTATGGGAAAATACAAGCTTTTTAAAAAAAAAGAAAATTGCCCTAAAAGTAGACCTAAATAGATTTTATGTTCATCCCAGTTTCATCTACAATTTCTAACTCTTTTATGTGGAGTTCTAAACAATAGTTTAGTGAGATTTAATTCTCTCAATCAAACTGCAAGAAAATATAAACAGCGGATCAATTCTCAAGCTCAAACCCTCTATCTTGGACAGCCAAATTTGTTTACTTGTTTTAGTCATGTTTTAAAAGAGAAAAAATATTCAAAACAATATTTTAAAAAGTTTTAGATGTCATTAATGTCATTAATCAATTACGTTAATGATCTAAGTACCTGGAAAAATGATAGTGGCAGTATCGAGGGGTTTGAGGCGGTGCGAGGAGCCGTCGGTGTGAGCGTGCGGGACGCTGCTCTCGGAGGGAGCGTCGGCATCGTGCGGCGGGACGTCCAGCTCTGCTTTGGCACTCATAGCAAGATCTGCTCAGGACCACTGACCAGAGAGAAATAAGGACAGCGCTTAGTTATTTAGCAACAGTGTGTAGGGTAGGCAGTGTTCGGGAAGTTACTCTAAAAAACGAATCAATTTCTTCAACGGTGTAATTAGATTACTGTACTAATTGCTCTCTCTAAAATTGCATTACTCACTAATTACATCCTAAATCTCATATTCACCCGAACTATATGAAACGGCTCTTTTAATTCTTTCAAATAAATAATCTAAAATTGCATAAATTATTCTTGAACTGACCAAAGTATTTAAAGGGAGAAGGTTAGATTAAAAACATACATTTTAACATTAGATGTACAATTTTGATGTTAAATCCACTATTGTTTAATATAGAATTATTCTATGTCTATACAGAAGCAACTCATTAAATTACAGAAAAATTAATTTTTCATTACTTTCCTTTTTCCAAGGGAAACATATTTAAATTACTGCTATTAAGTAGGCTACTTAGTCTTAAAAAAGAATAACAAATTATATTAATAGTTATGACAGTGTATTTAAAATGCTGCTGTTTATCAGAAGTTTTAATAGGAATACGATGAGTCATTTAAAAGGACATTTCTGTCATTTCTTCACAAAAGTGAAACATGATAACAAAGATGAAGCACAAATGATGATGATGCTCAGCCAAATTGATGCACAAGACAATTAACTGATGGTTATTATGATGGAGATGCATAATCCATAATCTGACGGTGTTAATCATGCATAATCCATAAACTAATGTTGGTGGTGATGATGATGATGATGAAGCATAAGTGATGGTGTTAATGCTCAACATGATGATGGTGATGATTAGGCATAATGCATAAACTGATGGTGAGGATGCTCAAACCATAAAGAGATAGTGGTAGGGATGTGATGGAATAATCAATTCCCATTCAAAAAGCATAATTCCCAGCGCATCCTCTCAGCTCCCCAAATGTTCCTGACTCCAGCAGTGTAAAATGGCGCTGTGGTCAGTGAACTAAAGTAGGCGAACCACTGAACCGTTCATTACTCCATCCCGATCTGGACCGAAACACTGCTTTATGAGGAGCATCCGATTCCCGGGCATTTAGGAGGAAAAGACAGATGCGCACTGTAAAAATTGTGTTTTAATTTCATGGCAACCTCAGCTTAATTGCTAATTATAAGGGGTTATTTAATAATTTTATTAGGACAAATGCGATAAAACGCGCGTCATTAGCCTATAAGTGTCCATATATGTATGCCAAGCAAAATCTTTATATTTCGATCGTGTCTTAATAGCATGACAGGAATTGTGCGTAATGTGAAGGCGATAAGATAATGAATTTATTCTCACCAGTGCTGGTCTTGCTCGGGAGGAATATGATCTGCGCATGCGCGCATCATACGCGCACAATCCTTTGATGTTTGAAAGTGTTGCATTCTACACAATTTCACACACACGATAGTGTGCAGTTTATGACACATCTCCGGTACGGATTCTTACTCAACACTAATCTAAAAACATATTTAAAACATTTGACATTTTTGGAAAGGATTCGTTTTCAAAAACAAACCAAAAAAACAAACAAAAAAACGTTTGCCTGGTAGCCTACAGTCAAACCAAAATTTAATCAGACACCTTCAACATTTCTCACATTATCACAGTTTATTCGCTATAGTTTAGAAAATGGAATTAAAATATGACAAGAACTCAGAGTTATCATATCAGTGGATATTTCAGTGGTTTTGTCCGTCCTTCTGTTAGACTCTCACATTTGAATTATGTTGAATATCTGTCAGCTAATAAATTTAACTACACAATTAGATAATAGGTCAACAAATTACCAAGCAATGCTTAATGCAACACATTACCAAACGCAATGTTGTTCAGTCTGTGGTGTAAACAGGTCGCATTAGCAATTAAAGAAAAACATGTTCAAGTCGGAGTAATTTTTGGTCCCAAATTTGTTTTATACATTTTACTAGTCCACTGTAATTTTTGGGTATAATATGTCACAGATTACTTTATTTTGCTATCCTCACTTACATAAATGAACTATAATAGTGTCCTGCACCCACTACTAAAACAACATCAAAAATATCTGGTGACAGAATAATTTTTGGTTTGATTGTATGTAATTAATAACATAACGAAAGACAGACTTTACACCAATTGAGTAAATTCCTGAAATATATTTAAATATATATTTAAATAAAAATAAATAACCTTGACTGTCACTGGATTACCATATAACAGTCATGATTTCTTGTTTTAATTAAGTGGAAAAGTCAAATGTAAAAAAATCTTCAGACGTCACGTGAATGAGAAAGTTAAATCGACACAAGTTAAATGTTCTCTTAAGTGGAAGTTAATTCATGATCCACTCTCCATCCTGATCCTGCTTTTGACCTTACCTTGAACCAGAAACATATACTGCATACAACTTGAGCATCCACTGAGCCTGTATTCCTTTAATGTCTTTATTATAGACTTTGCTGTCCAAATATAAACATGCAAAATCTTAATACTGAACATCATTTACATAAAGTAGTGTAAAAACTGACCAAACTAAACCAGGGCATTTATAAACTCACCAAAGTTCAGTGCATCAGTGCTTTGCATAAATCGCTCGTTAGATCTGTCGTATGAAATTATGTCTCATAATGCTCAGGATTTACAAGGCCTAGATTTGAAGTTTACTGAAACTGTTATTGGACTTGGCCTTGAAAGTATGACCACACGTTTTGCTCACACAAATTGTGTGTAATCAGATTTAAATGTCATAAGGGTTTAATCTGAGTAAATCTCATAAATATAACACACACTACCAGTCAGCGGAAGGAGGAGGATCATGTGACACTGAAGACTGGAGTAATGATGCTGAAAATTCAGCTTTGATCACAGGAATAAACTTCTTTTAAAACATTAAAAATCTTACTGATCCAAAACTTCTGATTTGAAGTTTACTGAAATTGTTATTGGACTTGGCCTTGAAAGTATGATCACACATTTCGGTCAGACAAATTGTGTGTAATCAGATTCAAACGTCATTAGGGTTTTAAATCTCATAAAAACCCTTTTCACCACAAATGTAAAATATATCATTAGGGATAGTTCACCCAAAAACTAGCCGATGATTGACTCACCCTGAGGTCATCCTAGGTGTATATGACCTTCTTCTTTCAGACGAACAACAACCGCAGTTATATTAAAAAATGTCCTGGCTCTTCCGAGCTTTATAATGGGAGTCAATGGGTTTTTTTTTTTTGGAAGTCCATACATTTTAAAAGTGCATCTATCCATGATAAAAGTGACTTTTATCATGGATAGATGCAGTTTTATCATGGATAGGTGCACTTTTATCATGGATAGATGCACTTTTATCATTGATAGATGCACTTTTATCACGGATAGATGCACTTTTATCACGGATGGGTGCACTTTTATCACAGATAGATGCACTTTTATCACGGATAGATGCACTTTTATCACGGATAGATGCACTTTTATCATGGATAGATGCACTTTTATCATGGATAGATGCACTTTTATCATGAATAGATGCACTTTTATCATGGATAGATGCACTTTTATCATGGATAGATGCACTTTTATCATAGATAGATGCACTTTTATCATGGATAGATGCACTTTTATCATGGATAGATGCACTTTTATCATGGATAGATGCACTTTTATCATGGACAGATGCACTTTTATCATGGACAGATGCACTTTTATCATGGATAGATGCACTTTTATGATGGATAGATGCACTTTTATCATGGATAGATGCACTTTTATGATGGATAGATGCACTTTTATCATAGATAGATGCACTTTTATCATGGATAGATGCACTTTTATCATGGATAGATGCACTTTTATCATAGATAGATGCACTTTTATCATGGATAGATGCACTTTTATCATGGATAGATGCACTTTTATGATGGATAGATGCACTTTTATCATGGACAGATGCACTTTTATCATGGACAGATGCACTTTTATCATGGACAGATGCACTTTTATGATGGACAGATGCACTTTTATCATGGACAGATGCACTTTTATCATGGACAGATGCACTTTTATCATGGATAGATGCACTTTTATGATGGACAGATGCACTTTTATCATGGACAGATGCACTTTTATCATGGATAGATGCACTTTTATCATGGACAGATGCACTTTATCATGGACAGATGCACTTTTATCATGGACAGATGCACTTTTATCATGGACAGATGCACTTTTATCATGGACAGATGCACTTTTATCATGGATAGATGCACTTTTATGATGGATAGATGCACTTTTATGATGGATAGATGCACTTTTATCATGGATAGATGCACTTTTATCATGGATAGATGCACTTTTATCATGGATAGATGCACTTTTATCATGGACAGATGCACTTTTATCATGGATAGATGCACTTTTATCATGGATAGATGCACTTTTATCATGGACAGATGGACTTTTATCATGGATAGATGCACTTTTATCATGGACAGATGCACTTTTATCATGGATAGATGCACTTTTATCATGGACAGATGCACTTTATCATGGACAGATGCACTTTTATCATGGACAGATGCACTTTTATCACGGACAGATGCACTTTTATCACGGACAGATGCACTTTTATCATGGATAGATGCACTTTTATCACAGATAGATGCACTTTATTATGGACAGATGCACTTTGATGGACATCCAAAAAAAAAAAACCCATTCACTGCCATTATAAAGCTTGGAAGAGGACATTTTTTAATATAACTCTGATTGTGTTTGTCTGAAAGAAGAACGTCATATACACCTAGGATGGCTTGAGGGTGAGTAAATCATGGGGTAATTTTAATTTTTGGGTGAACTATCCCTTTAAGAAGATGAGTGTAGCAACATCATACACATAGCACAGTACATGAGTTTTTACGAACCAACCGTTAACAAAATACGAGGGTATGGCCAGTGCTGTTACTGACTGTAGACACCGAGAATGTTGTGCCGTCTTGACGGAGACTGTAGTTGTGACGGATGACACTAGCAGATGTTGTCCCCCTCCTCTGGACACAGTTGAACCCCGTCCTCCTCCTCCAGCCCCCCCACACCATCAGCGCTCGTATCCAGGGCGTTTCCCAGCAGCTCGGGACGCTCCTGGAAGAGCCACCACATGGCCAAGCACTTGTGTACGCAGCGGCTCTTCCTGAAGTCACACAGGCACTTCCAGCTGCCGGACCTGGTGTCGAACGACACGCGCGTCCTCCCGAACTGACACCATTTGTCCTTAAGCCCGGTGTACACAGAGAAGTACACGCATCTCTCGGAGAGCTCGTGCCCCCCCCAAAACACAGGGTACACGCAATCGACCCCGTCCAAACCCGCCCTGGAGTGAATCTCCTGGCACTGCTGTGTGTGTGGCGTGGACAGCAGGTGTTTGCGTGTCATGTCCTCCAGAGAGCGCACACACAGCGGCGGGGGGGGCGTGTAGGGGCGAGCGAGGTTCGTCCTCATCAGGTGACGGCACTCTCTCCCTGGGTTTCCTCTCTGCGCCTGCGCTTTCATGAAATCCCAGCATTCCTCCAGCTCACAGAGCAGGATCTGTAAGGAGAAGGATTTCCGGATATGAACGGGCACCTGGGGTCCGTGTGTGTCCTTGGGTGTGACATAGATGGCGTTTTTGGCATCTACGCATAGCATGGGCTGCTGGTCCTGGCAGTGCTGGAGCCTCTCGTGCCGTCGCAGGTTTGATGTGGTGGTGAAGTGGACTCCACACTTCTGGCAGGAGGACTTGTTGCCTGTTGTCCTGTCGTCAGGGTCTGTTTGCAGGGTCTCCAACAGGACGGTCGAGGGTTGTAGCTCAACTGGAAAAGGGGAAAATGGTTAAGACCAGGGGTATTTGTCCAGTCCTGCTTCTGGAGGGACAATGGGTCTCATTCACTAATAATTTCTTGGATTATTTCGTACTTGTACGCACAGGAGAACTTCTCACAAAAACTCTCCGTCACAACACGTTCGTACGCACGTGAATTTGTTCTTAAAGGGGTCATCGGATGCCCATTTTCAACAAGTTGGTATGATTCTTTAGGGTCTACTTTGGTTAAAATTGACCATTCGCAAAGACCCGCCCCCCTTAGTTACTGTCGCTATGTCCGACAAGCTACGCTGCTCTCACACACACACACACACACACACACACACACACACACACACACACACACCATGTTCTCACGCAGTGAAAAATACATCGCGGACTGACAACACGCTGACAGACAGGACAGACCAGGTTACTTTTCGGTTACTTTTGATATTAAACATATTAAACAAAGTCTCACCTTTCAAATTTGGTCATTTTTTTAAAAGAAATTTAAACAATAAATGCCGTTTTGTGGCTCTTTAATGTGTCGTGACAGATCGCTGTAGAGCATCAGTTAAAGCTGCTCGTGATCCGATCATCTCTTCCTTCTAGTTCATTTATAGCATCAAATAAACATGAATGAACATAAGAAGGAATGTTGTTTTAACCGCAGAAAGGCGCCAGTATATTCAGTTTTTCAAGTTCAAATCCTCCCATGTTAATCTACTAACTCTCCTGACCGCTTTGTCGGACAAAATGGCGGATGGCGAAGTATGATTGGTCAGATCACCTGTCAATCAAGCTCCCTGCGAAGGGTTAATTCCTCAATGGTTGTGTAAAACAACGCCCTTTCTACCTCCTCAAGAACAGCTCTGTTCACAGCGACCCGTTTTGGTGCATGTCTCTTTAAATGATAATGAGCAACTGGTCAACATATAAAAGTGAATTTCGCATCCGATGACCCCTTTGACATTGTTCTGATGTTAGTGAGTTTGGAGTATGGTAAATGAGCGGCACAAGGTTAGTCATTTGCATAAAACATGCCCACACATTTCCATATAAGGGCTTTCCACAAACACTTTCCTTACAGCCTTTTGTCACTCTCATGAAACTTGCCGCTGTCACACACTCTCACCAGTTCTCACAATAAACACCTCTAGACCCCGATTACAGAGCTCTCATTGGCCGGCTGTACACACACGTATATCTGCCTTCTTCAGAGAAACCTTGCAGCGGAAACTATAACGCAGCGTTTCTTGCTCTTTAACTGTATATGATGGAATTTATTTAAGATGCAATTAAATTGAATCATTTAAGAATTTTATTATATAATTATTAGGGCTGGGCAACGATTAAGCGCGATTAAGTGCATCCAAAATAAAAGTTTGAGTTTACATAATATATGTGCGTGTACTGTGTATAATTAATTTGTATATATAAATACACACACATATGCATATATATATTTAAGAAAAATTAGTTATTTCCATATAAAATATTTATATTTATATACAATATACATCATGTATAAATGCATCTACATGCAAAATTTCTTAAATATATACATGCATATGTGTGTGTATTTATTTATACAATTTAATTATACACAGTACACACACATATATTATTTAAACACAAACATTTAATTTGGATGCGATTCCTCATTGCCCAGCCCTAATAATTTATATATGGATTATATAAAATACAATTTATGCAACATAATTCAATTTAATTATAGTCGTGTTAGAATGAAATATAACTTCTTAACACGATTAAAAGGCCGTACAGAGAAATTGCTTTTTGCGTACGTGTGGTTTCAGTTGTTCCTATATTTTGTTCGTAAATTTAGAATAAATTGTATTACGAAAACTTTGCTGAATCGTGATTTGTTCTTAAAATCGTTTGTACGCACATTTCACGCACAAATTTGTGTGTCCGTACACTTAGTGAATGAGTCTCGGGCTGAATCCGAAATCGCCCCCATACCCTCAAATAGTGGTAGTGGTGTAATGGTGTCCGAAACCATAGTGGACGTTATTGAGTGCACTCATTCAATCCCACAATGCACCGCATTAACGAGTGTACAGCTGATGTACGCTCAACGGCTGTCCGAATTCACTCACTCGTTTTCATCCACTCCTTCAAGTGAACTGTATTAGTGGACTAACATAGGGAATAGTGAGGGTTTTGGATTCAGCCACTGTCCTGCAAAGTTGAGCTTGAACCCTAATTAAACACCCCTGCAGCAGCTCATCAAGGTCTTCCTAGAAACCAGAGTAATGTGTGATGAGGGAGGATCAGGACATGTCTACATGAAACATCGTCTCCACCATGATGCCTCCATCTGGTCTGTCAATTTCTGTTTCCCCCCAACTTACAATTACATTTATTTAAGAAATAAGCTTTGTAGTGATTCGCTTGGATATCTCTAGAAAGAATCTGCTCTGGATCATGAGACGTGTTCATTACGTCACATGATCTGAAATCAGAATCATTAAAGGCACACTGTGTAGTTTTCGCCACTAGAGGTCGTTTATTCAAAGCAAAGGTGAGGCTTGATGACGCCGGCTGAATCGTGGGGCAAAAATCATATTCATGGTTGACTGGTAATGTATTATAGATTTATGAACATTATGAAAGCCGTTGGAGTGGAACGAGGCCGCTGGAGCGATTGCTGATGAGAGACGAGCGCGACACTTTCATTATTACGCCGCAGACGCCGCTCTGCTAAATACGGCTCTAGATTTAAACAAGACTGTGTTGAGCTGTATAACAATGATTCGTTTTCTGTAGATGAATGCATCCAAACAGTTGCTCACCTGTCACATAAAACACATAATATATTAAAGCATCTTTGGTGCTTCTGGAAATGGAGGGTAACGCGGGTCAGATGTCAGTGATAGACGCCGCACGGTCAGTGTCCTGGTTAAAACTGCTTATTTCTCTGGAGTTAAACATTCTTGGAAACATTTGGGATACTGTAAGTTCACAAAACAACAAAATATATAACATTGTTCTAGAATCTAGTGGTTTTTGAGTGCAAAACAAATTCCCCTCGGGGCAATAAAGGTTTCCTTCATTCATTTTTGGATATTTTGATTCAAGAATCGTACATAGTGTGTCTTTAACGGCGTGTCTAACACCGGAAGCGGCCGCGCAGCAACAGCTCGATCTCTACACTGGACGCCACAAGGAAGCCGGTGCTAATCCACTTGTTCTTCACGAGCGGATCGCTAGTTTGCTGTTGGGGATTTGTCTTGTCGCACAGCATCAGTGATTATAATGGGTTCTGTTGTCACTCATCGCGCCGCTCACGTCAGGTGTGGTGGACACTGGGTCATTCACATTAGTGAAACGTCACAGGCAAAGAAAGGTCCATTGTGGCGCTGTATGAAGCACAACTCACACTGAAGTCACTTCAAACCCACCAGCTTTCTGTTGGTCAGCACGCTGAATCTGCATGATCAATTAAACCTGAATGAATTCATGTGACTTGTAATCTCTAATCTAAATAACTTCCCCACCCTCTTGCATCTCTTCTCTGACGACGGGGGCGGGGCAACCTGTCACTCACATCAGATCCTCCAATACCAAGCCACAACCATCCAATAACTCCCCACGGACACAATCAAGCCCCGCCCACATGTGTTCTTCTTCCAGAAGCCGTTTCACACGCATATACGGCACAAGCAAGAAGAAAAGACTTTTCGTCACTACTGAACGACTGGGCAGTTGCGGTGGTTTTGGACACAGCCATTAATTCAATCAATGGATCTGAAAATGATTAAATGCCATTTCTCACCTGTGGATTGGTCTGTCATCTCAACACCTGCGGTTACACGAAACAGAGCAGAATGAAGGATGTTAATAACTGCAGGCTTTTTACTCAGAGAGCAAAGGAATGAGAAAAACAAAGCAGTATACATATAGTGAAGGAAATATATACTCTCATCGTACATTTGAACTCCTTCAATACTGTTCAAACACATCCCAGAATGCAGTGATAAAAACAGCTGGAATCTAGACAAAGATGGCCAGTGTAGCTGATACACTTAAATCTTAAAAAGCTTGCTTCTATTCTATAATAGGGACAACACCAATAATGATAAACGAGTAGGTCCAAACGTATGCAAACAATAGAGAAACATATACATGCCAATTCAGATATGATATTCCAATCATCTTCAATCATACAATATAGCGAGAAAAAGTACAGTCCCGCCTCTAAGTTAATTCAATAGGAAATGTACTTAAATAGGCACAAACCATGGTTGGTAATATGTATTTTGTAATCCTTTGTCCTTTGCAGTATTTTGGTGCACATTGGGCAATGCCAGTGGCTCCGGCCATGGCCTCCGTCCGCACAGTAACAGGGGATAGAAAACTTCCCTGTCACGAACAACAGACTGCGTTAGAATATCATCTCTGCGCAAAACAACTACTGAAGAAATGTGTAATTACCAATGCCAGAATCTTTATAATATATAGCGAATCTGAGATGTCTTTTTTTGAGGTGATGTTTAGATGCAGTAACTGGATTCCTACAGTAGAGACAGTCGAGGTCCTTCATCACACTGAAAAGCTCCTCTTCATCAACAAACACAAATATTCTCTCTGTACACAAAGAGTGAACAAAATAAATGAAATGCAAGCTTTATAGACCCATCTCCACTGCATGTGCATCCCTTCAATAGTTGCAGGATTGAACCCAGCCTACCATGTGCGATAGATACTCCATGCAGAGAGTTTATCTCAAGATAAAATAAAGAAACTGTGTTGCATTAATAATAGCCTATGTATATTTCCAACTAGACACACTTTGGTGCCATTTAGTTTCCCCATTTACCATCCAAATTAGCAACTTCTATTTTTAAACAATGGAGCAGCTTTAAAATTCACATTTGAGGCAAGACTGAGTGTATATAAAGTAATGTTAAACCATATTAGGGAATTAACAAAAAATTAACAAACCCATTAGAAGTCTACACACACACATACACTTCATATGCATTGCAAACTCATCCTTTGCTTGTAAATAAAAACCTATGAGATAAAACATGTTTTGATTCTAATTATAATTCAAGTCGATCTTGTGAACCATCATCTTATTTTAAAAGTTTTTATTAAAAGCATTACACTCACCTGTCATGACTATTTACTTCCAGAGCCTAAAATACATATACAAATGGAATTATTAGCAAATACCAAAGACTATCCAATTGTTATTTAATTAAGGATTGTGAAGGCATCTTACAGCTTCATCTCAAAATAATATATTTATTTTACAGTAGGAACAATAACTATGGCATTTCAGTGTAAACTATGGTTACCATGGTGATTTTGATAAGGTAATAACCCGTTTAATACACAAAGACATATCTACTGACCTGCCACAAACAGATGGTGTGGATGCAAAGCAGTCAAATCGGTTCTCTAGTCTCAGACTACAGGCTATGAAGATCATATCACACCTTCCAGCGGATCAATCGATCGCGCTTTAAAAAGCTTTTTATTAATATAATAAAAATAAAAGATGGCTGAGCTGCTTGCTTTGCGCACATCTATGACGCCAGATCACGTGGTTGTCGCATGAGCTGTCTTCTTCTTCTTCTTCTTTTTCTATGGCGGTTGGCAACCAGCTTTTTGGTGCATTAGCGCCACCGTCTGGACTGGAGTGTGGATCAAGAGGTCAACCTACACTTCCTTAAATTCTTTTTAATAACCCAGTTAACTTAAAAAAGAACACAAAACATGAAAAAAAATTTCACCAGATCCTCTTTCCAGTATCTCATGTAAATTGAATGTCATCTGGTTCTCACCAAGTTGTGAAAATAATCTTTGTCTGGCTTGATGGTATTTAAGACAATACACAATTACATGCTCTACTGTCTCTTGACTATTGCAATATTCACATATTCCATCAACATGCTTTTTCATTATAAATAAAGTTATATTTGATCCTGTATGTCCTAGCCTCATCCTGGACACCACATCTTCTTCTCACTTTTTCCTGTTCTTTCCCACTTTTCCTTGAAGACTATTCAGGTGTCTCCCAGACTGTTCAGTAGGCTATCCCATAAAAACTGCCATTTTTCATTAATTTTAGCTTTACTTATACTTTTGACTTCAGCTTTGCTGTATTTTATATCCACCTCTATATCAGGCTTCTCTGCTGCTTTCTTCGCACATTTGTCTGCCAGTTCATTCCCTCCTACACCTCTATGAGCTGGTACCCATATAAATGTAGTACTAATACCAGACTTAAAGGGTTAGTTCACCCAAAAATGAAAATGATGTCATTAATGACTCTCCCTCATGTCGTCCCAAGCCCGTAAGACCTCCGTTCATCTTCGGGACACAGTTATTTAGATATAACCACTGATATTTTAGATTTAGTCCGAGAGCTTTCTGTCCCTCCTTTGGAAATGTATGTACGGTATACTGTCCTTGTCCAGAAAGGAAATAGAGACATCATCAAAGTAGTCCATGTGACATCAGTGGGTTAGTTAGAGTGTGTTGAAGCATCGAAAATACATTTTGGTCCAAAAATAATAAAAACTACGCCTTTATTCAGCATTGTATTGTCTTCCGGTTCTGTTGTGGATCCGCG